TTGATATTGGCGTAGCTTTCATTTGGTTTGAGAAGGCGGGTAGAAGGAATTCGCAGATTGCCCCACCGGATATCGCAGGAGGATTGCCTTGGACTTTTGTCAGTTGAACTGTTTGGAGAAAACCTCGGTTCACTGTCCTACAACCCCGAGGACTCCGTACTGAGCTTTCGTCCGTCATGTGAACGACATCTTCAGAGCCCAAAACCTCCAAAAAACACTAAACATTCGACCCGCCTTCTCAAATGAAATGAAAGGTACGCCAGTATCAAGCTATTAAGGGATACTTTGAAACCCAGCTTCACTTCAGATCGCTTATTCTTGTTGGCCAAAATAATCGAGTTATGTGAGTAATTTATGAGATGCATAATCCCTATAAGAGAAAGAAATTCCCTTATACTATGTCTCCTGTCAGCAAATCAAGTCTGCGAGGCACGGAAGCACCATATGTTAAAAAATTGAGGCATTTTATTCCCAAATTTTAGCTTTATAAAGCTCAATATGACGCTGTCATCAGAGACAAAGCTGAATTTATTTGAGCTGGAAAAAATAATATTGAAAATGCTGATAAAAGAATCTTTATAGTAATCACTTTATCTTCAATCGTAAAAAGAATCACTCAAAAAGCAGATAACTATATATGTATATATATATATATATATATATATATAATTTACGATGCGTTATTTCTAGGCAATCAGCAGTAAATTCCTTAATTGATTTGAACTTTAAAGCAAAAAGCAAAGATTTTAATTAGTATAGTAAATAATCACTAGGGGCAAATTATCCATTTAAAAATGTGGTAAATATGGATATATTGGATAGATTCATAAATATTAGAGAGTAATTACTGCTTAATGAACGTGATCCCGGCTGTGTCTTGAGTTTAGCTGCCTAATTTTGAGAGCCCTTCATATGTCTTTAAGTAAGAGACAAGTACACAGCAAAGTTTGTAATTGGTAACCTCCGAGATTATTAATTGTCTCGATTCTGCTCCACTTCAAAGGTGACTGAATCCTTTTCAACCGTTAGCTGAGTTCTTAGCAAAATTCTAGTTTCTAAAGGATGCTTCCTCAAAATTTGCCCTTTGGTTCACGATTAAATGTTTAATTGGAATGTGTATGAGATTAAGGCACATGAAAGAAATAGCTTACCATTGCGAGGGTCATTTTGTCAATGGCCGTCTTATCTCTAGACTTATGCTGGCGAAATGGACTATGACCACGCAAGAGTTTGTAAAGCATGCAGCCGAATGAGAACCAGTCAGCAGAGTCACCGTAGGCGATGCCCTTCTGCAGGACCTCCGGTGCCATATAGCCGTGAGTGCCCACTCCTGCAGTGGGGAGTTTTCGGGAGAAGTCGCATGCCAGTCCCATGTCACTAATCTTTGCATGGCCATACTCATCCAACAAAATATTGGCTGGCTGAAGAAAAAAAAGGGAGAGGATACAACAATAAGTACAAGGATTATAGATCTAATGTTTTATAGTTGAATTCAGAGTGGAGTATCGGAACTCCATACATGGATG